GTACAAGCAGCCAATAACCACTGACACACTTCTTCAGCTAGGATGTTAAACTGGTTGTGTACAAGCAGCCAATAACCACTGACACACTTCTTCAGCTAGGATGTTAAACTGGTTGTGTACAAGCTGAGTCAATAACCACTGACACACTTCTTCAGCTAGGATGTTAAACTGGTTGTGTACAAGCAGCCAATAACCACTGATTACACTTCTTCAGCTAGGATGTTAAACTGGTTGTGTACAAGCAGCCAAAACAAATACACTGACACACTTCTTCAGCTAGGATGTTAAACTGGTTGTGTACAAGCAGCCAATAACCACTGACACACTTCTTCAGCTAGGATGTTAAACTGGTTTGTGTACAAGCAGCCAATAACCACTGACACACTTCTTCAGCTAGGATGTTAAACTGGTTGTGTACAAGCAGCCAATAAACCACTGACACACTTCTTCAGCTAGGATGTTAAACTGGTTTGTGTACAAGCAGCCAATAACCACTGACACACTTCTTCAGCTAGGATGTTAAACTGGTTGTGTACAAGCAGTCAATAACCACTGACACACTTGTTCAGCTAGGATGTTAAACTGGTTTATTGTACAAGCAGCCAATAACCACTGACACACTTCTTCAGCTAGGATGTTAAACTGGTTGTGTACAAGCAGCCAAAACAAATACACTGACACACTTCTTCAGCTAGGATGTTAAACTGGTTGTGTACAAGCAGCCAATAACCACTGACACACTTCTTCAGCTAGGATGTTAAACTGGTTGTGTACAAGCAGCCAATAACCACTGACACACTCTGTTCAGCTAGGATGTTAAACTGGTTGTGTACAAGCAGCCAATAACCACTGACACACTTCTTCAGCTAGGATGTTAAACTGGTTGTGTACAAGCAGCCAATAACCACTGACACACTTCTTCAGCTAGGATGTTAAACTGGTTGTGTACAAGCAGTCAATAACCACTGACTTACACTTGTTCAGCTAGGATGTTAAACTGGTTGTGTACAAGCAGCCAATAACCACTGACACACTTCTTCAGCTAGGATGTTAAACTGGTTATTGTACAAGCAGCCAATAACCACTGACACACTTCTTCAGCTAGGATGTTAAACTGGTTATTGTACAAGCAGTCAATAACCACTGACACACTTCTTCAGCTAGGATGTTAAACTGGTTGTGTACAAGCAGCCAATAACCACTGACACACTTCTCAGATTTCAATGTGACCTGATCCGGCAAGTAGCGCAAGCAGCAGAGCGACGCTCGACTCCGCTGCAATATTTTCATTGGTTTGTTGTCTATCGCCATACTTAGCTATATGGCGGCGGTCTTTAATAATCGAGTGTGGACCAGACAATCAAGTGATCAACAGCATGATCATCGATCTACGAAACTGGGATACGATAACATTTGTCAACCAACCATCAATCCTGATCACCCGATCCCATTAGTCGCCTTACGACAAGCATGGGTTATTGAAGACTAGTTCTAACCCGGGCCTCCATTCACAAAGCACTAAGGTGATCGTAAGTCACTAAGGTAAACTTAGTGCAGTGTTAAAGAATGGGAGTTAAGGTTAACCTTAGTAAAGGTTGCTTCGTGAAAGGAGGCCCCGATCTTCATGTGTCCGTGGTCTCGACTACCAGCTGTTCGACTTCCATTTTATGGAAGCCGTGGTGGCTGAGTAGGTTAGACGGCTGATTTTGTGTGCAGGCGATTAGGTGCCTGACTCCAGGTCAAGTCCTGACTGTAGGTCAAGACTCGATTATTTTCACACACCCGCCATATAGCTTGAATATTGCTGAGTGCGGCGTTAAAACCAACCAACCAACCAGTCCAGACGACAAAATTGTGGGTGTGGTGGTGTATGGTGGGGGTAACCTAGTGGTTAAGGCGTTACTCTGAGGATCCGGGTTCGATTCCCCACATGAGTACAATATGTGAAGCCATTTGCTGTGTCGCCCGCCGTGATATTGCTGGAATATTGCTAAAAGGGCGTAAAACTAAACTCACTCACTCATGATATGTGAATGGGCCATTATTACTGTCTCGTGTCTACGGGCCTATAATGACGTCTTTGAATTCCAGTATTATAATTATTGGGCCCATGGGTCATGATTGGCTTGTTTATACATGTGTCCAGTTAAAGAGTACAATTCATGGGTCAAGTACAGGTGGAAACAGTACAGCTCTGCTGCATTGTACAAACCCGTCAGGACAGACATAAAATATACTGCCATAACATTTTTTTACTTTTATGAAGATAAGTAACAACATCCGATACTAATAATGGTTTAATAAGATGGCCTATATCCCCTTCAAAAATTGTTCTGACGGTAGGTTTTGGAACATGTACAGGCCTATTATTGGGATATGGGCCATGAGTGAGTGAGTGAGTGAGTTTAGTTTTACGCCATTTCTTTTAGCAATATTCCAGCAATATCACGGCCCGGGACAACACCAGAAATGGGCTTCAAACATTAGTACCCATGTACGGGGAATCGAACCCGAGTCTTCGGTGTGACGAGCGAACGCTTCAACCACTAGGCTACCCCACCGCCCAATCATGATTGGACCATTTGGGACTTGTTTCTTTCAAGTACAAGATTCGTTGAGTGAATGAAGGCAGACATGCTCGAATTTACCATCATATAAGGCGTGATTGTATTATGCAGGCTTTATCATTTTGTAGGGCTCCTCCACTACGCCTTACCCGTAACAGGGCACAAACGTGGGCTGCCAGTTGATTGTGTTATCATATCTCGATAGTGGACTTGATTGTATCAACCACTGGTTTACAAGGCCTAGAATCGATCAGTTACACGTAGCCAATACCGCTGGACCATTCTGACTGCAGGCAAAACACATATTACTCACACATTCCAGATACGTATTCCACACTGGTATGTATGCATACACGCACGCGCTTGTTATAAATATACTGCGCGTATGTGTGTGTGTGCATGTGTGCGTGCGTGCACGCAATAATGTGTGCGGGTGCGTGTTTATGTGTCAAGTGCCTGCAGAAGGCACTGAGTGAGTGAAGTTTGGTTTTACGCCGCTTTTGGCAATATTCCAGCAATATCAGGCGGTAGGTTTGGGGATATGTACAGACCTATTATTGGGTCATTGGTATGATATTGTGAGTAAGTCCTTTTAATTTAATGAAGCATTTAGCTATATTCCAGCAATATTACGGCGGGGACACCAGAAATGGGCTTTACACGAAAGTGTAGCCATGTGGGGAATCGAACACATTAACCACTAGACTACCCACCTCCCGGGCGAAGGCATTGAGCGACAGCATCCATAGCACCCAGCCACCCAGCCACCCAGCCATCCGCCGCCCTTCAATCATCAGTCACTTTCAAGAAGATGATTCACTCAACCATGACACATATAACAGCAGAGTATCCTGGGCGGAGTACAGCATTCCCGGACACACAGTTCCCACTAAATCAGATACCCTGTATTTTAAATAAGTTTACCGAGAAGCCGCAAAACGCAGTGTGCATTATTTAGAAAAAGTAAGGCCAGAAATGCTTGGAAAATGTTATTTTGCAATTTTTTGATAATGGTTGATATTTCAGATTCAAAAAACTCATATATAGTGTCATTCATACCACCACGACCTAATATGGCATATGAGTAATCACGGTGTACCCTATTCCCTTATCATAACGATTACTCATAAATTATCGAAAAATCCATGGCAGAAACACTTCTAAGAAACAAACCATACGGTGACCCACCTGGCAGGCAGACAGGGTGACAGCGTTTTAGTAATGCAAGGGCAGTACATGTCAGCGACCGTCTTAAAATATCAAGTGTTAGTATCACAGATGGTGGAGGACTCTACCGGAATTACACAGGACATTTATTGTATTTCTGATCTCATCTTGCATTTTAGCACACGTCTGTGGGATTTTACGTTCATACAGTTGATAAACTGCACCCCGTATGACACCTTATCAAAACTATCTAGTTTGTGTTTCTTATCTGGTTTTGATTTTGACACGACCCTGAGAGGTAACTGATGTGTTTACAACTTTCCTAAACCTGACTATGTCAAATTAAGGGGCTTTACACATTCTATAGTAAACCCTGTCATAGCTAACGAGAGGTTTTCTCCATTTGTTTCTCTCCAGTATGAAATACTGGTATAAATTGAAATTAATTGTTCTGCAGAGATATCAAATAGCATGTTTCCAGTTCAATGCTCATACACGAAGTGAAACTTCTATGGGTGAACAAGATTATCAATAGGATTTCAATTAAGGCTTTTTTGACGTAATTCTTTTGGATATAACTACTACAAGAGTTCCATCTTTTTCACATATAGATGTTCATATAAAAACAAAACTTTTACAATCATTTATGTAATTTAGTTGGTTGAGGCTATATGAATATTTATAGTCTGTATTTCAAAAACGACAGTTTGTACTTAGAATATTTACGAATGTTGTTAAAACGTCAAAATTTCCTCCTGAGATGTCATCCCTCAAGTGCATTTTCATCTGAGCTTTAATATCCAAATAGGTAGAGTCGTACATATGTCATATTTGTGCTTTTATCTTGTGTCAAATTCACCATATTGATATTGAAGCCAATAAGCATTTTCCAAGCATTTCGGGCCTTAGCACTTTAGTTAAGAACGCGACCCAACAAAGGTAAGGACAATAGCACTGTCGGGTCGCACTTGAGAGTGGGTAACAAGGACGTAAGTTATAGACATCCTGAACGGAGGATAATGCCCATTGAGAGGTTCGAGCACCTTAATAGTGTGTGTACCTCACCACTTATCATTCCCTGGAAATGGCCACAATGATCACGATGCTGCTCGCCTGTTTCGCGGAAATCCTTGTGTCACCCGGATCTAACCCTCAGCACACCCACCTCTTCCATGAAAGTACAATGTGATCGATAAATATTTCAATTGAGAGAGTTACTGGTGATCATAAATTATTACGGGTATTACAGGAGGGGGAGGGGGGTGGTGTGTGTCAAGGACACGTGTAACACTTATAACTCAAATAGCACTGACACTCGCTGCTCAGTACTCAAGATAGTGTGTATGGAGTTGCAGGTGAAGTATCTTGCGTAAAGTCAGGTGGGAGGAGTTTCTAGAAAAGGTAGGCGTTCGCTCATATCCCATTGGTACGAAAGCCTATTAGGGCCATTCGTTTTTCGGATACATATTATGTTTTTAAATACTTACGAAGTTGAAATTTCATGAGGGAAATGATCTTGAAATTTCAAGATATTATGTTGAAATTTCAAGATCGTTATCTCAAATTCAAATGAAGAAAACCCCCAAAACAAAACAAAACGAATGGCCCTAAAGGCTTAGGTAGTCTACATGTTAGTGAGAAGGATTTACGACCTCCCTTTGTGGGACAACTGAATGTATGTCTTTAGTTGCCATCAGGTAGATATGTACTCTCATTGCTTTTGTTGTTAGTAGTCGATCTTCGTTTCAGTATTTTGAATTTTAACAACACTTACATTGAAGTGAGTGAGTTTAGTTTTAACCCGCCAGAAATGGGCTCATGTGGTGTATCAAACCTGGATCTTCGGCGTGACGAGCGAACGCCTTAACCACTAGACTACCCCAACCGTCCAACTGACACTGGGAGCCAAGACAAGTAACAGTAACTCAACTAGTGGCGGTGGGGTAGCCTAGTGGTTAAAGCGTTCGCTCGTCAAGCCGAAAACCAGGTTAGTTCCCCACATGGGTACAATGTGTCAAGCCATTTCTGGTGTTCCCCGTCGTGATGTTGCTGGAATATTGCTAAAAGAAGCGTAAAAAACTAAACCCACTCACCCACTATAACTCACTTAACTATACTGACACTGAATGCCAAGACAATACACTTTACTGTCATATCTAGACTAACGCTTAGTCCCTGAATATATAATAGTAACAAATAAACCCATGTAAATTGAAACGGAGCGACAGTGAGTTGGCAGATTCATCTAGACTTGCTTCATTTAGGGGTTTAGCATTGCAGGGACGGCGAGGCAGTAATGAAAATCATGTGGTTCAGGGACCTTGTGACCGACCCTCTCATATCTTGTGTTGCGAGTTGTCGATCTTCGTCTCAGTATTTGAGGGCTTTCACAGCTCATCCCAACGTTACTAGTAGCTTAGGCAGTTCTAGTGGCCGCAATGTACGCCCTTATCGTACCTGATCTTATAAATTCAAATGTTCAGTCGTGAGGACGCCCAGCAGTTCAGGGATTTGAATTCTCCGAATTAATTCAATGTGTAGAGCCACTGCTGATGTCCTCCGGCATGTGAGTGAGTTTAGTTTTACGCCGCACTCAGCAATATTCCAGCTATATGGCGGCGGTCTGTAAATAATCTAGTCTGGACCAAACAATGCAGTGATCAACAACATGAGCATCGATCTACACACTTAGAAAACCTGACCACCCGATTACGTTAGTCGCCTCTACCACAAGCATAGGTTACTGAAGATCAATTCCAACCCGGATCTTCACGGGACCTCTGGCGTGTCGTTTCCAGGTTTTGCTAAAAGCTGTGTAGAACCACATTTACTGAACCCCTTTAAACGTCCTTCCACCACATGGAATAATTACTCCCTTCTTGCTCTTTCAGACAAGTAACAGCAAACATGAGTGTATGGACAGATTGGCTAGACTTTATCCCAGTCGTGGGTACAGTCAAGAACACGGTCGAAGCTGTAACAGCCGTCTGCCATGGGGACTATGACCTTGCGAAGGAAAAAGGAGCCAGTGCCGCTTTGGGTCTTGTGCTGGATGTTCTCACAGGTGGTACCGAACATGCCGCTGGGACTGCCGCCCTCAAAGTGGGTCAAAAACTCGCTCTTAAGGGCACTACAGAAAAAGTTGTGGTGAATGTCATGACTAAAGCCGGGGCCAGAGCCGGTACAAAAGCAGTTGCTGCTCGGATTCTGATCCACGAATTGGGCAAAAAATCTAGCAGACCCAAAGACCCAAAGACCAATGAGGATGAGAAGAAAAAGCCATCTCAACGTGGTGAACATGTCATCAACAACAACGTCCTGAAGGTGTTTCGGACAATCATTGACCGATTTGCTGATAAGATTGGAAGCACTGCAGCTCAACTGCTTAAAGAGGACACAACAGCTTATAAAGCATATTATTCACCTCTTCCTGAAGCCACAACCCAGTCTATCGGGAACATCATGGTTGCACATATTCCGGAAGAGGACCAATACATTGATGCCAACGCAACGGCCTATGGTATAGCCATTGGGGAGATATCTGACATGGTGGTCACTTACATGTACGACTATTATGGCAACAACAGCTACAATGCTCCTGTTGTCGATAGGAGTATCACCGAGCTGGTTCGTTTACTGAACGAAAGTCACTTGTATGTGGATGAGTACGCCAAACAGTACTGGTTACATCATGGCGGGAGTGAGGCCTTGTTTGAGGAGAGCAGACGACAAGTGGTGCAGATGTTCAGACGTCTGTGTGCACCGACAAGTGGGGAGAACGAGGCAAAGCAGTGGGTGCGTGATCTTACTGGCCACACTTAAATTTACACCGCCATTGGCTGCCAAGACAAGCTATAGTAGCCCCTCACCTATACTGACATTGGCTGCCAAGACAAGCTATAGTAACCTTTACCTATACTGACATTGGCTGCCAAGACAAGCTACTGTAACCCTTACCTATACTGATATTGGTTCCCAAGACAAGCTACTGTAAGACTCACCTATACTGACATTGGTTGCCAAGACAAGCTACTGTACGATTCACCTATACTGACATTGGTTGGCAAGACAAGCTACTGTAACCCTCACCTTTATTGACATTGGATGCCAAGACAAGCTATAGTAACCCTCACCTATACTGATATTGGTTGCCAAGACAGGCTACTGTAACCCTCACCTATACTGTCATTGGTTGCCAAGACAAGCTATAGTAACCTTCACCTATACTGACATTGGATGCCAAGACAAGCTACTGTAACCCTTACCTATACTGATATTGGTTCCCAAGACAAGCTACTGTAAGACTCACCTATACTGACATTGGTTGCCAAGACAAGCTACTGTACGATTCACCTATACTGGCATTGGTTGCCAAGACAGGCTACTGTAACCTTCACCTATACTGACATTGGTTGCCAAGACAAGCTACTGTAACCCTCACCTATACTGACATTAGTTGCCAAGACAGGCTACTGTAACCCTCACCTATACTGTCATTGGTTGCCAAGACAAGCTATAGTAACCTTCACCTATACTGACATTGGATGCCAAGACAAGCTACTGTAACCCTTACCTATACTGATATTGGTTCCCAAGACAAGCTACTGTAAGACTCACCTATACTGACATTGGTTGCCAAGACAAGCTACTGTACGATTCACCTATACTGGCATTGGTTGCCAAGACAGGCTACTGTAACCTTCACCTATACTGACATTGGTTGCCAAGACAAGCTACTGTAACCCTCACCTATACTGTCATTGGTTGCCAAGACAAGCTATAGTAACCTTCACCTATACTGACATTGGATGCCAAGACAAGCTACTGTAACCCTTACCTATACTGATATTGGTTCCCAAGACAAGCTACTGTAAGACTCACCTATACTGACATTGGTTGCCAAGACAAGCTACTGTACGATTCACCTATACTGGCATTGGTTGCCAAGACAGGCTACTGTAACCTTCACCTATACTGACATTGGTTGCCAAGACAAGCTACTGTAACCCTCACCTATACTGACATTGGTTGCCAAGACAAGCTATAGTAACCCTCACCTATACTGACATTGGATGCCAAGACAAGCTACTGTAACCCTCACCAATACTGACATTGGATGCCAAGACAAGCTACTGTAACCCTCACCTATACTGTCATTGGTTGCCAAGACAAGCTATAGTAACCTTCACCTATACTGACATTGGATGCCAAGGCAAGCTTGTAACTCACTTGCCTATACTGACAACGGATGCCATGCTGAATAGATGCAGTTGTAACTCTGTTCGGAGCCTTATGTATGCAGTCCATTGCTTCCTTTAATGAACACTAGGATCACCCTAGTCAGGACTGGTTCTCTTATTCAACACACTTCTCTATCTGGAATCTTGCAGGATTCGGAAATGAAAGCAGGCAATAACCCACAATAGTTAACAATATTTTCACAAATGTTACCAGACCAGTGTAGGGCTGTGTAAACAGTTCCCACTGTATAGAGTGGGTTGTAAAATATTTCCAAAGGATAGTATATATTGAAGGTATCCCTGTGTCAATAAACAGAGTGTACATCTTTAAACGTGAATGTCTGTGAACCTCCTCTACCTTGTGATTTATCAACTTCACTGCTGTGTCCAGGAACTGCTAACTCTCATAAGATATAAAAATGCTGTCATTCAAAATAATATTCAGTTGTGTCTTATAAAAGATCAGAATCTAGATGCATGAGTTTGTTTTATTCATCAAGGAAAGTGGTGAGGGCACCCTGCTGTTATATTTTGCCAATAATACACTTATTCTCAACCTTTTAATGTCGTTTTAAGCGATACTAGTAGAGCCTAGAGCGCTGTGTGCGACGTGCCTCAAAAGCCAATAAATTGTCTCAATTCATGCTCCATGAAATGTGCGAAATAAGAAAAACACAGTTTCCAAATTCGGAACACAAGTCAAGAAACCATCACGCTATAATTCGCCTGAATATGAAAATTATACACTTATTCTGCACCTTGTTATGTCATTTTAAGCGATGCTACTATTGTCTAGGCGCTGTGTGCGACGTGCCACAAAATCAGCTAAAGATGTCTGAATTCATGCACATGAAATGTGCGAAATAATAAAAACAGTTATCAATTTTGGAATACTTGTCACGCACCCATCATGCTATACCTAACCGGAAGATGAAAGAAATACACTGATTCACTATCTAGTTATATAAATGTGCGAAGTTACAACAGCACAGATACCAATTTCGACACACATCTCTCAAGAAACCATTATGCTATAACTAACCTGAAGATGAAAATAATACACTTTTCCGTACCTTGTTATGTCTTCTAAAGCGATACTAGTAGTGCCTAGGCGCTGTGTGCGACGTGCCTCAAAATCAGTTAATGTTCTCTCCATTCAAGCTTCATAAAATGTGCGAAATAATAAAAAACGCAGTCGGCACTCATCTCAAGAAAGCATCATGCTATAACTAGCCTGATGATGAAAATAATGCACTTATTACCTAATAATTTATAGATTTTTAATCTATACTACTATTGCCTTGGCGCTGGCATGACTTACCTCAAAATCCGATAAAATTGTCTCGATTCATGCTTCATGAAATGTGCGAAATGACAAAAACAACAGTTACCAATTTCGGCACGTCTCAAGAAACCATCACGCTATAAGTAGCCGCCTGAACATGACAATTATGCACTTATTCTGTACCTTGTTATGTCATTTTTAAGCGATGCTACTATTGTCTAGGCGCTGTGTGCGACGTGCCACAAAATCAGCTAAAGATGTCTGAATTCATGCACATGAAATGTGCGAAATAATAAAAACAGTTATCAATTTTGGAATACTTGTCACGCACCCATCATGCTATACCTAACCGGAAGATGAAAAGAAATACACTGATTCACTATCTAGTTATATAAATGTGCGAAGTTACAACAGCACAGATACCAATTTCGACACACATCTCAAGAAACCATTATGCTATAACTAACCTGAAGATGAAAATAATACACTTTTTCCGTACCTTGTTATGTCTTCTAAGCGATACTAGTAGTGCCTAGGCGCTGTGTGCGACGTGCCTCAAAATCAGTTAATGTTCTCTCCATTCAAGCTTCATAAAATGTGCGAAATAATAAAACGCAGTCGGCACTCATCTCAAGAAAGCATCATGCTATAACTAGCCTGATGATGAAAATAATGCACTTATTACCTAATAATTTATAGATTTTTAATCTATACTACTATTGCCTTGGCGCTGGCATGACTTACCTCAAAATCCGATAAAATTGTCTCGATTCATGCTTCATGAAATGTGCGAAATGACAAAACAACAGTTACCAATTTCGGCACACGTCTCAAGAAACCATCACGCTATAAGTAGCCGCCTGAACATGACAATTATGCACTTATTCTGTACCTTGTTATGTCATTTTAAGCGATACTACTAGTGCCTAGCCGCTGTGTGCGACGTGCCTCAAACTCAGCTGTCTAAGTTGTCTCAATCCATGCGTTATGAAATGTGCGAAATAATAAAAACACACTCATCAATTCGGGTAAAATTGTCTCGCACCCATCATGCTATACCTATCCGGAAGATGAAAATAGTACACTGATTCCCTAACTAGTTATACCTTTTTAAGTGATACTACCAATGTCTAGGCGTTGAGTGCGAATTGCTTGAAAATCAACTAAAATTGTCTCGATTCATGCTTCATAAAATGTGCGAAATAATAAAACACAGTTATCAATTATGGCAAACTTTTCACGCAACCATCATGCTATAACTAACCTGAAGATCAAAATAATACACTTATTACCAAACCAGATATGTTATTTTTAAGCGGTGCCACTATTGCCTAGGCGCTGTGTGCGACTTGTGTCAAAATCCGATAAAATGTCTCGATATATGCTTCATGAGCGAACGCTTTAACCACTAGGCTACCCACCGGCCCACAAGCCAGAAAAATAGGGTAATAACACCGGGGCATGTCCACCCACCCCACCCCACCCCACTTCTCTCTACCAGTAATACTCTGAGCACTGAAAATTGCGCCTGTAGATAAATGTATGTTTTCAGATTTATCTATATCTTTGAGGTAAGTCTGTGTTACACTATAGGTAGTTCAGATGTAGCGCTACGTTGTAAAACGGGTACCAGGACTATAGCATCCTTCAAATGAAAAATACCGATACATGACCCCTCTTCCACCTACCCCCACCCCCACCCCACCCCGACCCCACCCCTTTATTAGTAATACTCCTCCACTGAAATTTGTGTGTTGAAAAGCTCTCTGAAAATGACGCATATAGAACATACGTGTTGCTGTTGTTTGATGCACCGCTCAGCAGTATTCAAACTATATACCGGATGAATTCACACACATCTTTATTTTTGTTTTTCACAAATAACTTTGATTTTGTAAATCCAGATGTCTTTATATCAGAGTGATATGAATTAAATTATTCGAGCTAGGTTCCAATATATGACAAATCTGCAATACCTAGCTACCAATCAGAGTGTTTTATTTATTTCTTTGAAGCCAATACACCTAAATAGTTTACAGAATTTGCAAATTTATATACATGATGCAAACCCGAAATAGCAAGAAATAATATTGGCAACTCTGATCAATATTCCAAAAGTCCATAAAGAAAGGACAACAAATCTCCGGGACCAGACAATCCAGTGATTGACAGTACCACGACAGCCCATCCATTGAGCTGCCTACTTCCTACTGCCCTATTTTGATGGGATCAGTTCCTACCCTGCAGTAAGCCTTGGATTAACTAGCTTGACACACAAAAGACTACAGTTATATTCACAGTTTATCCATAAAACAAGTATTAAACAAAACATTAGTCGGCTGGTGTGCCTGCAAATATATTTACATTGTCATATTTTGATACTTTTGCATGTTTGTTTCTTTGTTGTTTAATGCCGTCCTCTCTGTGATGACGACTTGAATCTGGATCAGAAAATTCAGTGGTCAACACCATTAAAATCGATCCCGTGAATTTAGATTCTATGGATAGTCAAGACTGGGTAACATTTTGCACTGGCGTTCTATGCGATATTCAATAAAGTCACATGATGTCACCTCATTCACTCACTCTTTTAGACAAGCATGGTTTGCTCAAGTGAGTTTAGTTTTTGCGGCTTTTAGCAATATTTCAGCCATATCTATCATGGCGGGGAACACCAGAAATGGGCTTCACACATTGCACGAATGTGAGGAATCGAAACCCGATCTTCGGCGTGACGAGCGGTTGATGTTGACCTATGTTCCCTAACCTGGCTTGACTGGGTCAATACATAGCATAACGTAATATTCATGTAGTTCACTCACATTTGGACAGTATTTCTGGTAATACATACTGTGTTACACAGGTTTAAATGTGTGATCAAAGGATGATGGGACATATTGATACTGTCACCCACGTAGGGCCAGGCCTGATAGTTGTACAGGCCGCATGGCAAGGCTGTGTGAGACTTGCATTCTGTCTCGGTAAATGTTCAGGATAAGAAAAAAAATGTTGGACAAATCCGTTTGGGTGCGTTATTCCCACAGTTATTCCAACTATAATTACATCATCTCTGAAACCTAAAAGTATCAACTGCGTTTATATGTCAAGATGTTCGATGTCAGTTTTAAGAACCTATGCAGTTGTATATATTTCATTATTACCAGTAAGTAATACTATCACCTGTACAACGTCCTACACTGTTGTCGTTTGAGGACTGAACTAACACCCCTCACTCACTTACCTTTCAA